GATCTGGTAAGCACTCCCCACGTGGCTATGCAGCTAGTATCAGGGCTACTATTTGGATGAATCCACAATGGCTCTATTATTGACCTCCAAGAACTATGTGGATTTTGCTGGAGTAAACTACAAAATAATAGGGACCGCCATCTTGGCATCTTTTAAGACTTTGAGTGATGCTAATTTCTGTCAATTGCCCTGGTATGCAATATCATCTTGCATTTGTTGTTGGCCAAGCAACACATGGCTTTGGGAATTTATATTTGGCCTTTCCTGTTCCAAGGTTTTTAATTCCTCTAGCCAAGTAACTACTTTGGGAGTTGTGACAATTACTAGACATGCTGTAGGAGTTTCCTGGGGCCATTGTTGCAAAATTCCATTGACTGGGTGACTTCAATAACAGAATCTTTTTCTCATAATTTTATACCAGTCTAATACGAAAGTTTCTGCAGAGATAATTCCTTCTGAGGCCTCTCTCCTTGGCTGGATGATGTTGCTATTCTTTCTGTTCATGTCTAGGTCCTGACGTCCTATTGTTCTAAAGGCATTGTTCATATTATATTAAGGTCTAGCCAGATTACATCATTTTATCATAATTACTTCTCTAAATTTCTTATTCCATTACACTATTGGACTTGGGGAGTTCAACGTGAATTTAGAGAAGCCACAATTCGCCTATTAATAAACATGTATTCCAGTCACACAATTGGAGGTCAGGAAAAGCGACTACATAGGACGTCAATGAAGCAGCCATTGGATGCGAAGCATCCCAGAAAAGAGCCATGAGCTTGAGGAACTGAGCACTTTTGAGCTGAGGTCTGTTTTGAAGCTGAGGATTGGTTGCTAGCAGCATTTCCACAGCAGCAGGATTTTGTTCTTTCTTCCTAAAAGTGGTTCTCCTGTGCAGTGCACCAGAGCATCCACCATACTTCCATGAAATTCAAATTGACTAACTAATGGGCCAATGGAGAATTTGCTTACAGATTTTGCAAAGTCGGGCTCTGCTTATTGAAAATGCAAAACTTTATCCCCTAGTAACTAAGGTTTGTCATCACTCACAGCCACTGTGGTTTTGAACATTCCATCTCCAGCAACAGACATCACTCAGTATGTACAAGAAAAATTCATAAATTGAATATGGAAGTGTCCTAGGTTCATAATCCCATTCATGGGATGCCTTTGCTATGCACACCTGAAGCTGTATCTTCTGGGATCTTGTACAAATGCAGAATCTCAAGTCCCACCCCAGACCTGTTGAATCAGAATCTTCATTGTGATAAGATCCCCTCGGGTGGTCCTTTTTCTCTTCAAAGCTTGAAAACTCTGCAAAATATGACCTTGAGCAATTCATTAAGCTCCCTGGGCCTGATTTTCCTCATCTGTGAAAGAAAGCAATTACAGCTAGAAGACCCCTTAGGTCCCTTCCAGTTCTACAATGCCATGACAAATCTGAGCAGAGTTTGATCTTTAAAAGTAATACAGTGCCTCTCATAGAAAATGCATTGAACTTCTAGCTCTCCTCCTCCTTGAACATTCTGCTTCCTGAAAACTTGGCTTCCATCTGTAATCAGCAAATAAAGTCATGGTTGAAGGGAGACTTGTGATAGCCTAAACGTGAAAGGCAGCCCCGTTAATGCGTCAGCTCTGCACCTCGAGGCTGAAGTGCCTTAGAGTGCTCAGGGTAATGTGCAGATGTGCTGGACCGACACTTATTAGAGTTATAAAAGGGGTTTGGGTGAGGCCAACAATTCCACCATTTAGTGCCTTGACCCTCATCAGAAGACACATGACTCCTGGTTGGCCATTCTAATTTATGGTGGTGCTTCATTTACACCCAGCCATCAGCAAGATAGTGATGGAGAGAGGCAAAGAGCTGGGGTGAATGAAAGATAGGCGCTTTAAGGTTGAACACTAAATGATCACCCATTCTCTCTGCATGGATCATTTGAAGCCCCAGGTGCCATTCTAAATTGAAAATTCCCAATGATTAAGAACTACAAGCACTAGGAGAATGATCTGTGAATAGTGTTTAGAAGATGCAAGACAAAGCTTATCAAGGTATGCCCGGTTTGTGTAAACATCACAAGAGGAAAGTCACAAGTACGGTAATAATGTACGGAAAGCATTGTTTGAAAGAATGTTATTGTTAGTGTAAGTGCCCGTCACGCCAATAAAAATAACTGTAGCCTGTACTGAATACTTTCCCCATGCTGGTGTATTTTAAGCGCTTCACTGACCCTCAAAACACATCAGTGAAGCAGGACTAATGTTCTGCCCATTAAACAGATAAAGAAGCTGAAACTTAGACTGAAAGATATTTCCAATGTGGCATAGCTAAACTAAAGCCATGAATAATGTGACCCCGAATTTCTAGTCTATATCATTTTGCCTTTACCTCATCTTTATTACTTTCTGCATGTATTTTTTAAACAGATATACCTGATAAGAGTAGTCCTCTTTGTTCCATAGACCTGCCCAGTTCCCCTGCACCTCACAGATAGGTAGAAAAGAGCCCAAATCTCCCGAATGGGAGCCTCTGGCTCTGTCCATGGAGCCAAACCCTTCGGCACATGGGCACATGTCTGTTACATATTTTCCCATTTCAGTCAGCGATGTTCTGCCTATCTCGCGATCTCCATCAGCTCTTCTCTTGGGGTGATTGGACAGGGTTCTGCTTAACTCAGATAAACACCATCCTGTCACTTAATGTTAACCTAAGAAGAAACAGATTCCACAGCTTCAAAGCAAGTTAAACTGCATGGAAATAAATAGTTCAAATAAAGATTGTTAGAAGGTCGGCAGTGCAAATATAATCAGTAACTCAATCCGCAGAAATGTCCCAGGTGTTTGTCAGGCCTCCTTTTTGCCTGATGAGTCTTGGCTGAAAAGAGCTGTGCTAGTGCGGATTTTGTAGGAATCTGTCTACTTCCCTGCATTCTTGAAGTCAAAATTTCTCTACCTGAATTCCAGAAAGGCTCGCAGTTCTGAGTCATCCCCACAGGCCAGCTGGTGGGAAGCAACAGCCCTAGTTCCCCCTCTCTCACCCTCAGCAGACAACCTAAAGATATATTCTGGCCTTTCTCTCAGAATTCCTGGGGAGAAAACGCCATTGCCCTCCTTATTACCTTGTTTCTCTCTGCTCTCTCTTCGCTTCTCTTCCTCTGTCTCTCATCTCTCTCCTCTCCTCTCTGTCTCTTTCTCTCCTTCTCCCTCTCCTTCTTCCTTTTTCCCTCCTCTTTCTTTCCCCCACTTTTTAAGTTTTTCTTTGGACCTCTCCCCAGATAAGTTCTTCACATTAAAAGTCTTAATTTGGATTTCTACCAAAAGCAGACTATGAAAGACAGATGACTTGCTGAAGTCGATACTCATATTATGAGCTGAATGCTTGTGTTATGTCGATCACTAAACAAAGTCTTAGTGATATTATCATAAACAAGACACCCAGGACCCCTCCTCTCACTGGATTGACAATCAAGTGGGCAAGGCTTTGAGAAAGCAAATTATCAGAAATAGCCACCAAGACATGAAAAAGACTCATTACAAAAGGGAGTTGTGAATAATGTTCCATTTGTTTTTATATATAAAGGGAGAGTGGGATTAGAGAGAATGCTGCATACAAATGGAAGAGAATATCAGAAGAGAAGACCCAAGGATTATGTGGTACATTGGAGCAATATGAAGATTAATGTGGCTGCATGAGAGAAAGCACAGTGAAATCTGTTAACAGGTCAAAGAGGTGGGCAGGTGCCAGATCCAGGAAAAGCTTTTAATCACTTTGAGGGCTTGAGGCTGTGTCCGCAGGGCAAGGAAAATCTGTTGTAGAACTTTAAGCGAGGGAGTGGAAAGATCACTCTTGCTAAAATATGGATACTTGGTAGGCATAAAGGCAAGAACTGTGGCTGGAGCACCCCTTAAAAGATCGAAGACCCATAGTTCAAGGCCACATGCTATGTTTTGATTTCTCTTTACAACTGCATCACTTAAGGATTGAGTTTGTCAGCATATAATATAAAATCATAAAACACAACCCTAGCAAGTGAGGAAGGGTAATTTTTCCCACCTAGCAAGACATCCAGAAGTAGGTGTTTCATTGGCTTTGGTTTTTCTGATGCAGGGATTTCAGAGACAGTATTTGTGGCTACCCTGGCATTGTCTGCATGGCCATGGCTACTACTATTTCAACAATTCTACCACTGTGCCTGCATTCCACAGAAGAAAATATGGAAAGCAAAGTGGACAAAAAGGACACTGGCTAGCCCACTTTTTTACAGGGTTTTCCAGTGACATTTGCCTACATGAACTTGTTTCAAAATATGTCACATGACATCCTCGTCCTCTAGTGAAAATGGGAAACGTAGATTTTAGCTGGGTGCATTGCCAGTGAGTAAATACACAAAGTTCCATTAATAAGGGAGTCAGGACAAATGGATATGGGGAAAGCAATTAGCAGGCTCCACCAAATCTATGCACAATAAAACAATCAGATTAGCTGAAACAACAAACCAACAAACTGTAGCAAGAGAAAAACTCAGAACAATGGTAATAATTTTAAGACTTCATCCATTTGCAAAGCATTTGTACTTTTCAAAGAACATTTTGTGAATTAAATTCCCCTGCTTAATATACTTAATAAAATAGGAGAGCATAAAGATATTGATGTTCCACTAAGCAAAAATAACCTCAAGAAAAGTTGAAAGCATGACAAATAGGAAAAGCAAAGACAACAATTTGTTCTGGAGCTGTAATTGTTTCCTGTGCACAAATTTCTTTTTTGTAGGTCTTGATTTATCTTTGTAATTGGCTACATCTTCCAGATCAGGTGCATTTGAGGGTCATGTAAAGACAACACCAAGAGTCCTGCAGTGATTTAAAAGGGAAAAGACGGGGAAGCAGAATTCTGAGCTACATGCATGGGGTGATGTCGGCCAGTGGGGCAGCAGAGCCTGGGCCCCTGGGTCCTACCACCACCCCTCCCCCACCCGGGCCAGCCACCAACGACAGGGTCCTGACCCATCAGCGCCGAGGACAAAGAACAGCAGCCCACTGAGATCAAGTGGCTGTGCATGAACTGTGACCTCAATGGCATGACATGTCTCCTGCTCACCAAGATCCCCTTCTTCAGAGAAATAATGGTGAGCTCCTTTTCCTGTGAGTACTGTGACTGTAACAACATGGAGATCCAATCAGCAGTCAGGATCCAGGACCAGGGAGTGCACTACACGTTGACCATCAGGGGCCTGGAGGACATGAACAGGGAAGTGGTGATGACTGATTCTGCCGCCACAAGGACACCTGAACTGGACTTTGAAATTTCAGCTTTCAGCCAGAAGGGAGCTCTGACCACTGTTGGACGATTGATCAACTGTGCTATTTCTGGCCTGGAGCAGGACCAGCCCACCAGAAGGCCAAGCAAAGAAGCCATAGCTGAAAGAATCGATGAGTTCATTGTTAAACTGAGGGAACTAAAGCAAGTGGCCTCCCCCTTCACTCTGATCATCGATGATGCCTCGGGGAATAGCTTTGTAGAAAACCCAGATGCTCCCCAGAAAAATGATGCCCTGGTGATCACACACTATAACTGGACCCTGCAGCAGGATGAGATGCTGGGGTTCCAAGCAGAAACATCAGAAGAAAAGCTGGAAGAAGATCTCAGCAATGAAGTGCTCCAGTTCAACATAAACTGCTCGAAATGCAACGCCCCAGCTCAGACCAACATGAAGGTAGTACAGATCCCCCAGTTTAAGGAGATGATCATCATGGCCACCATCTGTGAGAATGTGGTCATTGGACCAACCAATGAGGTGAAATCTGGAGGAGCAGTGGAGCCCTTGGGAACCAAGATCACACTCTGCAGCACAGATCCCTAAGACTTGACCAGAGGCCTCCTCAAGCCTGAAACATGTAGTGTGGAAACCCCAGAGCTGGAATGTGAGCTGGGAATGGCTGTCCTAGGAGGCAAGTTCACTACCCTGGAAGGACTGCTGAAAGATCTCCGGGAGCTGGTGACCAAGAACGCTTTGACATTGGGTGACAGTTCCAGTGTCACCCTGGCCAGTCAGAGATATTGCAGGAATTTAGTCAGAAGTTGGACCAGATTATTGAGGGTAGCATAAAGGCCCACTTTATTATGAATGACCCAGCATGAAACAGTTACTTGCAGAATGAGCATGAACCTCCGGATGGTCCAGAGATGAAGGTGGAGCGTTCGAAGTGCACCTTTGACCAGAACGAGGAGCTAGGGCTCAATGACATGAAGATGGAGGGCTGGGCTGGGGATTTAGCTCAATGGTTCTGCCTCCTGCCTCTCAAGCGAAAGGACCTGAGTTCGATACCCGGTACCAAAAAATAAAATAAAATAAAATGATGGCCTTCAAACAAAAAATAAATAAATAAATAAATGAGAAAAGACTAGGATTTGAATCCAGGCTGTTCTTGCAAAAGAAGCAACTGCTTATTCTTTGAACTTCAGTCTCTCCTTTTTTGAAATCTTACAACATATACTTGCTTTGCAGGTTTGATAGGATTTCATGACAATTTCTGGTTCAATGTGTGCTAATTTTACTGTTTGTGCATTCTTGTCCTTTTATTCTGGTCCTTTCAATTATGGGTACTAGGAAGGATATTAAGGCAGCAGATCTGCAGAGCAATGGATAGTAGGTTTAGAGGTGGCTTGCTAGAGTCCCATTCAGGTGCGGCAGCATTCTTGGTCACAAAGGTATTGGATTGAGCAGAGGGAGGGAAAAGTGCAGTGGGAAAGGATTTTGGGAGAAGGCTTCTGATATTTACTTTCTCTTAGAATACTATGTCTGAAGTGTGACCAAAGTCCATGTTACCTTAAACAGTTTCTCTCCTCTGAAAGGAGCTTGAGGCCACAGAGCTCCCACAGCTTCTGAAGAGCAAATCCCTCCACATGGGAGAGGCCTGCAGCGCAGCCCCTCTGCAGGCCTTCTGAGTCTGCTTTGCATCCCAAAATTTCCTGAGCCTGACTGTGGCCTCCTGGCCCCTATCACCCACCTGCAGATCGTGGAAATTAGCTGGACCTGGCCTCCAGCTGAGCTCTAGTAAGCCTCTCAGAGATTCCAGGAGGAAACAGAAATAATGACCTGTCTTGCATGCATGGATGGAACAGAGCTTTGCTTATTGCTATGGTTTAGGTCCAGAATATCACCCAAGAGTCTGGAACTCAGATGTGGTGCTTTGGGAAGATGATTTCATCATGGGGCTGTTCTGCTTATCCATGGATTCACTCATCCATGAGTTCATTGTTAAATGTGCTGTTGTGAGGTGGGGCTGGTTGCAGAAGGGGAGCTGGGGGTGTGTCCCACAAAGGTGTGACCTCCCTTCTTTCTCTGCTTCCTGGTTGCCAAGAAGTGAGCAACTTTCCTCCACCATTCACCATGCCATTACAGGATGGCACTTTTTCTATCTTGAAGCCAGCAAAGCACAGACTGAGCCCTCTGAACCATGAGCCAAATTGAACCTCCCTTCCTTTAAGTTGTGAGCATCAGACATCGTCATCCAGCAATGGGAGGCTAATACTCCTACCAAACTTGGCCAATGCCAATTCTAAGCAGAACTCTGAGGGCAAAGACAGATAAAGTGCAAGCCCTTTCTGCAGGAGTCTCCAGTCATCTCTGAGAAAGCCACTGAGGCTTTCTCAGGAAAGGAATAGGGTGCCCACCTACTTGGGAATTTGGGGTGGTCCTCAGTGTTGGAAATTTTGTTTTGTTGGAACATTGTCTCCTTAGTAGAATAAGTAGCAGCAGAATAAAATAGAGGCCAGGGAGTGAGACTGTCCAAAGACACAGAGTGGGGCCATAGTTTGGCATGACCTGCAGGCAGGATGTAGCGTAACCAGAAGCATAAGTTTGAAGAAACAGCAGGACCCATCAGGGATACCGGGCTGAAGTATCTAATAGTTGTTTTTCCATACTCAGTAGGGAGCTGATGAAAGATTTTGACCACAGGTAGGCTGTATTCTGATACTTACTTACATTAATCATCTCTCGGGGTGGAAAAGGGACCCAACAGGGTCCTATTTTGGAGTGTAGAAGAGTGAAGAAGTGAAGGTGAGAGTCCAAAGGAAACTCAACGGTAGCTCCTTACTGGGCAGTGGCCTTGAACTCAAGTGGGATGGAGCCCTTGACACCACGCACATCCACAGACACCCTTCACACATCACTCACGACAACTCTGTTCCCACTTCAGAGGCAGGACAAGACGGTTGGCTAAAGCTAAGCTCCAGACTTCCTGAGAACATTTCCAGTGTGCTTTATCTAGGGTAATCAGGGTGGACTCTGGGTTTGCAAATGAGGTGTTCTCTAGTAGCAGAAATCACAAGTTGTCCCTGCCAGACTCATGAATATCTTAGACACTTTTAAAAAAAGATCTTTTGCAGAAATTTCAGGAATACACTTGGAGCCATGTACTTAGTCTATCTTTATTTTTGAGAGCCTCAAAGATAGATTTCAAAACTAAGGCCTTGGAATGTGAATGTTTTTACTCAGTCCTTTGCTAAGCCACCAGAGGAGTGACTTCTTGCTTCCTCTACTCCAGTCTCAAGCAGATGTGTTTGGAAAATATTAGTGATATTTGCTGGAAAATATCACCATTTCCTAACATTTGTATTCCTTTCTCTGAGCTGCTGGCTTATTTCTGGATATTAATTTAAATCCCCTACTAATTTTAATTAGAGGTAGGATTTAATAATGTTGAGTGTTTGCTTTTTTTCCCCTCATCTTTCAAGAAAGAATGTTAACTTCAGCAATCCAGGATTTAAAGTATCTGTATTTATTCCAGAACTTTAACAACAATAAGTAGGGATTAATATTTGGATAGGGACTAGGGGAGTGTATTCACTGTGTCTTTGGAAATTAATTAAAAATGTTTTAAGATTCTTTAATGGGTTATTTAGCCAAATCACTCTGAAATAACGAACGGGTGTAAGCATAAGTCTTAGGTATTTGGATATTTCACACTGCCTGGTTTGAGTGTACCTTAGAGTCTGTTAACTCATTTTTCCCTGATTGTCTTTTGTTCTACCCACTACACTTGTCTTCCTACTGACTTGAAACTGCAGTACTGTTTACCTTATCTCACTTTTCTTCAACTATCACAGTGGCTCATGCCCATTTTTAAAAAATTATTTTGCATTAGCAAATAAGCTCTATATATTATGACAATAAGGTGATATTTCAATGTATGTAATGTTGTGCAGTAATCACATACAGCTGATTAACAAATCCATACCTACTTGTTTTTGTTCGTCCTATTGCTTCTGTTTCAATCCATCCCTTTTACCACATTCTATACCTGATAAACTCCCACACATTACTTAAATCTTTGCTACGGCTTCCCCTTTTCAGCAAACCCTCAATAAATCTCCCATCCAGGACTTACATATCCCTCCTTTTAACATTTCTGTCCTCCAGAAACAGCATTTGCACTTGTAGTACTGTAGCGTACTTTGAACGTCTGTCTCTCTCTCTCTCTCTCTCTCTCTCTCTCTCTCTCTCCTCCTACACTGTCAGGCCTTAAAGGTGTTATTTGCATCTGTATTCCACCCACCAGGCTTAGAGTAGGGTTTCAAAAATAGCACTGATTCAAAAGCCTGAACTCACAGCCGCTCCTACCTCTTGCAGTTTGAAGCAATAGAACTAAACAATGAAGATTGGCTTTTTGTAAAACCTGCCAAGCAGATTATACTTTCAATTTGTCAGCAGTATGGGTTGAGTGCAATAAAATGTTGGAAAAATACTTGGAGCATTTATTAAATGCCACCTAAAAGAAATGGCAGAAAATGCCATCTATTTGATAGCTTAGAATTTACAATTTTCCTTTTTAAGCAATGCCATTGGCTTCAGGAACTGAAGTATCAGCGATATGGTCTGATTAAACCGTATGAGTGACAGAGCAGAATTTTTTCCTTCTCTAGAAGTTTTTCGTGCTTTCAGCCATAAATAAATCAAAAGGGAGTTTGATGGAGGACAGATTCTACTGTCTGCTTTCTACTTTAGCTTCTGACTTCTCCCGGGACCCACTTGTGATACAGAACAAAGATGAAGTACATCTTAAAGATGGTGAAGTCAACTAGGCTCTGAAATTGAAGTCGAAGTGGATGTTTCCTTTAAGCACAGGAATTTAACAAATCCTAAGGTTTCCACTGGCAGCAAAGTTCCCCAAGACAACACACATAAGTTTTTGAAAACCTATAATTTTACAAGGCAAGTTGTCCAAAAGGGTTCCCTATACTCCAAAACCCCTTACTCTCCCTGTTCTCTGCGTTATGTGGAGTGTCATGGTGAGTCCCACACAGCTTTGAGCCCTGTCCGTCCCATCCACAGAGCTGGTGGTCATGGCCAGTGGCTCACCACTTCCGGCTTTGATTTCCTCCTGGACACGGTCTCATCCTGCAGTAGCCAATCAAGCCCCTACGTGCAGCCTGACGTATAGCATGAGGTGAAGAGCTATGAGGTCCCTCTTCCTTGCCACCTACCTACTTTCCTGCTTTCCTTGAAAAGAATGAAAAACAAAATTTCATGTTTAAACTTCTTGTTTCAAAGAATGCCATGTTGTAAGTCATCTTTGAGTTTTCTGTGACTTGGGAGACAAGATAACCAAGTTTCTTATGAATGACAGGAGATAAGAACAAATGGAGTTGATGAAAATGAAGTCCAGAGATGTATCTAATAACGTACACTCAGATAAAGGCCGGAGCCCAGGACAGTAGTAACGAAGCCACATTGCAGTTATGGACCTATCTACATCAAGCATCCACTCCACAAACACTGCTTTGATGGATGGGTCCTGGTGGTCAGTGAACTGTACTCAGCAGATCAGAAAGTGATTAACACAGTGCTGCCCTCTCTCCAAGAGCTACTGATTTAGCAAGTGGTTGTGGTTGGGGGCAACAGAGCACCTGGCTTCGTAATCATCTATACTCCTGTTGACGTAAGAAAGCATGACCTGGTGTGGTGGGAAAACGATGAGGAGTGAGGCCCCTGTGCCTCTGGTTGGGGGAGAGGAGGTGATAAATATCCAAGGCATGGGGCACTGAGGTGGAAGAGACCATGAGTTGGAAGGTACAAGGTATGATCAACAGGTTCTAGGCAAGGAGGCACCCTGGCCACAGGAGCAGATTATTGTATTAAATGAGGCATGAAGAAATCTCCTCTCTTGCTTTTCTAAGATCCTCCATATATAGACAATTAAAATGCAGTTTACCATAATTTATGATATCGTATGTTCAGATTACCTAAAAATATCATGAGAGAGACCATGAATGCAGTGGTAATATTTCATTCCATTCTCTGAGGTCAGTACCATCCAGCTTCAACAAGTGAGAGTGCTTGGGGAGGAGGACTCTGGCTGGAAAGGACCCTGGCAATCAGAAATCGGTGGGTGGCTGAAATTTCTAGAACTTATTATTTTAGTTTTGTGGTAGAAAATGTTTCAAATCCACCTTTCCCATTTTTCTACGGTTTAAATAAAATTGTCAGGTTGCGATTTGTTACTTGCCTACACCTTCATTCATCTACTCAGTGAAGGAAGACATCAGTTACTGAGTGCCTACTCGGTACCAGGCACAGGGCAAGGCAATTTTTCATTCTTCACTTAATTTTCACCATACTGTTATGAGGGAGGTAGTGCTGTCCTCACAGTGACTCAGTGCTTCTTGCTGAAGGTCAGACTCGCTTTCCATCATCCCTTCTTCTAGGGCTGCCATGTTGGTTCAAATGGTTTGTGAATGACACCGTCACACCTATGTAACGTGACAGCCTGATTTTGTACACGCGTGAGCCCAAAGGCCCAGGGAAGCTTTTGCTATTCCAAGGGTCATCTTCAGACCACAAATGCTCAAGGGTGTTGGCCTGTTGCAGGGAAATTGCAGATAGTTCTCCTCTCACTGGCCGGTGGATGCATTCATAGCAGTAACCCCCTTGTAGACATATTCATTGTTGCTCTCATAAAAATTAATCTAGGGAGCAAAGCACAGCAGTGATTTTAAGGCATCGGTTAGTAGAGTGCAAATAATTGGGTTTTAACTCTGCGGGCCCATCTCATCTTTCCTACCTAGCATCTTGAGCTTTCCAGAACTCAACTAACATCACTGGAGCAGCAAAGCAAAGGCCTCAGGGCCTTCAGAACAGTGGGCGGGAAGTTCATGTCCTGAAGCATGAGCAACCAAGCTATCCCTGGAGCCTCCTTTTGGTCCTTTGCTCATTTCCCCCAACTCAGAAACCACGTTTACTTTTGGGTTGCAAAAATGCTTGATTATGAGTCGACCAGCCCAGATCATGGATGATGCAACAGATCAGGGCACAGAGAGTACTGAAAGAAGAGAAACAGGAGAAGAAGCCAGAAAGAATCCTAACCACACACAAGTTAGCCCTTCTTTCACCGAAGGACACACACCCATCCAAGCTTCAGGTAACCCTTCAAGGATTTACAACTACAAACCAGGCTTAACAGCCTGAAGCCTGCAGCCTGGTTTTGTAAATAAAGTTCTGTCACTTGATAACCAACCTGATTTGTTTTCCTGTTAGCATAGATGCTTTTGTGCCTTGGTGGCAAAGTGGAGTCTTTGTGAAGGAAATCCTGAAGCCCATAAACCTAAAATATTTACACTGTAGGTCTCAATAGAAAAGTAAACCCATCTCCAAGATAACCCCTATTGCAAGCATTTTGCCATGATCAGAAGAAACAGCTCTGTGAGTCGCAGTGGGCAGGGAGCTCTGGGCAGATTCAGGGTCTTCTCGTAATTGTGGCACCGGTTCAGCATCCAGAGCACCTTCCACTGAGCAGTTCACTCCTCCAACACAAACTGGTGATTGAAATGCAGTCTTCCTTTACAGAAGAAATATGGATAAGTGCTACTAATGGGCCCTCTGCCAACATATTCTCTTGGATATCTGTATGCCGTGCACTTTTATTCCATTCAGAACATTGCTGAAAGGAGACTGACCCAGCCGCCTGCCCTAAGTAACACTCTGTCTCCTTGTACTCTGACTTGTGTTTCCTCACAGCACCTAGCACTGAGTCCCATTGTATATCAGAAGCACTTGTCTATTACCACTTCCTTCTCCAGAATACAGGATCTGCGGGGGTCAGTGACCCTGTCTGCTGTTTCCACAGCCCCTGTGAACACACCTAGGGAAACCCTGGGTAAATACTGAGTGGACTCAAGCAACAGATGAGATCTTATCTACTACCCATGGAGGGTCAGGAGAATTGGAAAAAAAGAAGAGAAGGAAAGAGAAAAATCCATCAGAAAACATGAGCTCTTTCCTTAGCCCTGTGGTATGCCACAAAGTCTAACTGAATAATGGGCAGAAAGCTTCAGTTTTATGTTAAGTATGTGAGACTCACACAGTGGCAAAAACATGGTGTGATGTAGATCTGAGTTCAAATTCAGGTCTATTTCTTAACAACAGCTGTTGTATGTAAAAATATTTTACGTATATGCATATATGCACATGTATACATGCACAAACCCCCACCCACACACACACATGGTTAAGGTTAGTTACCACCAAAAGTAATTGAGAGTTTGGGTTGAGTATCCTTTAAAATTCATGAGACAAGAAGGGATTCAGATTTGAGGTGTGTGTGTGTGTGTGTGTGTGTGTGAGAGAGAGAGAGAGAGAGAGAGAGAGACATACTATGTCATTCAGGCTGGCTTTCAACTCACTATGTAGCCCTGGTTGGCCCTGAACTCACAGTGATCCTCCTGCCTCAGCCTCCTGAGTGCAGGAATTGCACTTGTGCTCCACCACGCCAACATTTCAAACATTTGCATAAACTTTACCAATTTAGAATCCCTAATCTGAAAATCTGAACAATTTGAATGGCTTCAAAATCCACACCTGATCATCACATTGATTTTCATCCACCAGGTCGGGACTATGGGGAGAGAAAATGCAGGCTGTGTCCCCAGCCCTGCCTGCAGGGTGGTTGCTTCCTCTTCCTGCAGGAGACCTGCATATTGGAGAAGGGAGAGGTCAGGTCGCTTCTCAGACCTCACTCCTAGGTGCCCTCTGCTCCTCACCTCTCATTGTGAAAGGAAAAATGAGAACCAAAAGCCCTGCGCTAGGAAAGACCCTAGAGCCCCTCTCCTGTGTTGACATAGGGCGGTGACTCATCTCCAAGGGAATTCCCAGAAGTCTTTGGAAAGGGCTGAGATTTGTTTATGCTTCTGCCAGTCTTGTTTGTTGTGATAGTTTGACCTTGGACAGCCCTCCAACTGTCTCCTTAAAACTCTTGATTTTAGCCAAAAGGCTGCCTCCTTAAAACAAAGCAGGCTGTCTGCCTTCACTGGCCAGAGGGGCTGCCAGCCACTGTGACTGGGGCCTGAAGCTTAGAGCACAAGGCTGGGTTCCCATATCCCCTGTGGCACAGAGCTCCTCTTCCCACCCTACTGCCAGGTAGCTGCTGTACTGACTCTACAAGTTCAGAGAGAAAAAAAAAAAAAAAACAGCATAAAAGGAGAATGCTGTGGTCTAGTCAAAATCTAGTAACTGCCACGTTTGTTAAAAATTGCCCCAAGTTCGGGGCTTCCTGAGCAAAGAGCATTAGGGAAGACTGAGAAGGTATGAGGTATCCTCATTCAGACACTGCCTCACTGTGCTAGGAAAAACAGAATGGAACAAAAGGAAACTAAACACAAGATTTGTTTCTCCCTTTCAGGAGAAAGTGGCCAGCTCAGGCAACAAAGAGCCCTTCTCAAATTTCAAGGACTTCTAATTCCAGCAAATAAGCTCAGCTTCAGATTAACTTCCATCCATAAGACTTACAACTTCCAGCTGCTTGGAGAATTTGAATTTTTCAGTAGAACCCTTCAGGCTCATGTAATCAGTTCTGGCTTGTCAAGAATGCTGGTGAAGCAGGGACGACTAGTCTAATTCAATCAGGTTAGTAGTAACAGATGAAACCAGACCTAGTTTTAAGTCCCAGGACCATTGCTTTGTGGCTGTGTGATCTTAGATAAACCTTCACTTCTCTGAGCTCAATTTTCTCATTTTAAAAAAAGTGCAAAATATTGTCTAACTTTAAAGCCTTGTTGGGAGAAGCAAGCTCTTATTTTTAAAATGTGTA